TCAGCAGGACAAAGAGCAACAAATGACCAGACCACCCAAGAAGAGGTGAGAATCGGACAATGGAGCTGTGCTGGGGTCAGACCCTGGTCTGAACTCAGGGCTCCCGATCAGAGCTGGGGGCAGAGGAGAGCCGGCTCCTCTCTTGTGTTTTACAGACTTCTGCCCGGTAGAGAAGGATGTCTGCGTGGTGCCCGGGCAGTCACTCCCCATGGGACAGTATGGCACCTTCCTGTCCAGTGTGAGGGAGTCTTAGTAAGACACAGTGCAGATTTCCATCAACATTGATGGTGTCCCCCAAACCCACATTCATGGTAACATATGACAAGTTACATAATCTTTCTAAAACCCTTAGAGATCACAGCCATTGTTTGGAAGGAACTTTACTATTTTAAGTTCCTCTATAAACAGTAATGGGCAAAACACTGGACTCTTGATGTCATTAGGGAAAATGCCGATGTGACCACAGAGTCACAGTAATCTCCATCCCACGTAGCTCAGTCATTTAGTGGGTGGATGAGTGGATGGGTGAAGGTGGATGGGGGATTGTTGAATGAGAGAGTGGAGGGTAGCTAGTAGTGAATAATAAATGGATGGATAGGCAAACGGGCAGATGGTTGGACCGGTAACCAGTACTGATCAGACAAACATGGACAGTTAGACACATTACGCTTCAGGCCCATCACTGGGAACTCTGCGTGGTTTCTCCTTGCTATCCTGGAGTTTTCTTCCCCCCTTTCCTGTTTCAGGCTCAGTGAATGCCCAGTGCTGATCAGGTTTCAGAACTTCCTAGATTTCTCTCTCCTTAGTGTGATTCCCTCTCCTTAGTGTGATATGGCCATGTATACCCTTGGGGGGGGGGTCGATTTCACGGACGTTTCTCACCAGAGCGGACCTCCTGGGCTGATCGTGGGAGAAAGCGGCAAGGCTACGGGCATTTTGCTGCCTCTGTCTTTGGATTTAAAACAAAATCCTTTCAGAATCTTTCTGTTTTCCTCGCAGCCCCGTTCTCACACGCCATTCATAATCTCTTCCCGTAATTCATCCACGACCTCCAGTCTGTTCTCCTAGCTATGATCATCTCGGTTATTGGCCAGTTTTGTCACACTTCTATTCAGCTTCGTCCTCTTCCTTTGCTTTCCTTTCCCCTCCTTTCTCTCCTGTGTTTCCTCCTTCCTTTCCGCTCTCTGGAGTACTAATTACAATCACTTCCTCCATAGGTTTTTGGGAAAGTAGTGTGTAATCACTGGCCCGGAACCACCCCTTGCTTCAGCATGAATACTTCCCTCCCCTCCAGCTTTGTGATAAGTTATAAAGGGAAGCCATAGTTCCAAATACACCCTCTGAGTGCCCTTGCCCCATGCCCTGCCCCCTGATTCCCCGACTGGGAGGGACTCAGGTATTCAACTAGGCCCCTTTCCAGAGGTAGGCACAGCCCCTTGAGGAAGGTTCTATGTCTTGAAGCTTCATGGACATGATCACTTAGCAGACCCAACCCACAGAGGGTGGTGACCACGAGGGCAAGAGATGTGTCATCACTGTGCCCCTGAAGCTGAGGTGCAGGCACCGGGAAAACACTGGAGCTCACTACTTCATCATAATAAAACCCGGCCGTGTGGCTGAAGGGGAGGCCCAGGGTTCTCAGGTGAGCCAGACGTGGAATCAGCCAACAGGTACCAGAATCTGGCGCCAGAAAGCTTGTTAGCAAAAGACTCCCAGACAATGTCTTTGTAGGCTGTCTGGTGATATCTCGAAAGGGGACAGGCTGCTGCAAGGTATTATGGTCTGAGCGGCAGCTAGAGTCTAACATTACAGCCTCTAAGTTAGTCCTTCATGTCCCCAGGTGGCCATTTGGCAGATAGAGGTTGAGTCCTCTGCCATGAAAAGCTGGTTCAGGCTTCCCAGTAGTCCTTAGCCTGTCTTGCACTTCTCTGTGTGACTCACAGCCAAGAGAACCATGAGAGAAGACTCAACAGCAGGACTGATCCAGACCCTGAAGGCCACAGGCAGGAACACACACACCTTTCCAAGGGAACCTTTCCAAGGTCTAAAACGTTGTTCAAGGGCACCTAGAAAGTGGATGTTCAGATGGAAGCGCCACCTCAGTCCCCCCCGCCACCAAACCCTGTCTTATCTCAGAAAACCTACAAAATGGCAGCTTCTCCCGCAAGATGCTCGAGACCACACCTGCATTGTATTTAAACTGCCCCCCCCCCCCCGAAAAGCCATGTGGTTTTTCGGTCTCTCCTCCCTGTCTCCTCTCTGGGGGCCAAAAAATCATCCAGGAGCAGTTTACTCATTAAACCTGGACTTTTTCTTAATTCAGTTTGATTTGGATTACTGCATTGGCGGAGAGGCTTAATATCTGGATATGGAAACTTTTCAGTAATCCCTATGAGCTCCAGGAACTAAGCCAGATGCCTCCCAGTTTGTCTTGGCCACCACTGAGCCTGAAGTCCCTGGCTGGGTCCACTAAGCCTCTCAGTAAAGCACAGTGAATGTCATAAAAAAAAAAAAAAAAGCCAGCTCATAGTTCAGAGACGAAGAACCAGCCACAACAGGTTTCCTCAAGCTCTGAGGCTGCCTGTCCACCATACCTGCCTCATAGGACAAGTGTCCAGTCCTGGAACCCTCAGACACAGGAAGTTTCTGAGCTACAAGAATGGGAATTCCATCTGAGCCTCAGGGCCCACCCTGGCCATGGGGGGCGCACTCTGTTCCTGGAAGGCAGAGGTTTCTGGTGGTACTCTGTGGGCTAGGCCCAAGGTAAGGGTATTCTATGAGTTGGTCTTTCAGTCTTCTCGATGGTGGGATTGGACTGTGACGTCATGCTCAGACACATGAGAGGAAAGCACATAATAGCCTGTGACTGGGAGATGGACCTGGACATCCTCTGGTGGCCACAGAGAAATGGCTCAGGGTGTGGTCTGAGCAGGCCCAGAGCTTCTCACTGCCGTGGACAAATGGACACGAGGCCCTGACGCGGCCTGCCTCTGTGGTCCTACAGAGTGACATGCACCTTCTCCAGGTTTCACTGCATGCCCTGGGGACCCACCTGGCCATGCTTGCGGGGCCTGGATGCTTGCCTGTGCTGGCCCATTCCCTAGGGTTCTTCTGACCCCTTTACCTCATCTCACCTCACGCAGGAGCAGGAGCTGAATATAGCCCCAAATCCTGTCAAATGAGGCTGTGTGGGAACCTCCAGATGAGCTGTACGTTACTGAAGGCGCCATGAACCTCACCAGCTGCCATCTCACGGGTGCCTGACCTGTGTCCAGGACCAGACGGCGCTGACACCAAGTCTGTGGTGGACACTGCCCGTTGTGGGACTTCTTCATGAAGAACTTCTGTGTCCTGCATTCAACAACTGGATGAACATGGTCCCTCCCACAGCACGCCTGCCTGGAAGCTCCTCATTGGTGTCTAAGGTTTGAAGAGTGACATCTGTCTCACCTGGGTCCTTCATAATGTTACAGCTTCACCCTACCCCATGCCTCTTTTGCTGGCTCCTGTCTCAGTGGGCTGCGCCCGGAGATCTCTACTATGTCCCTGGAGCCAACACTGGCCCCACTTTGGTGGATCCTAGAGAGGGCATATTCTGAGAACAAGTCCATTGTGTCCGAAGGTGATCCTGGGGGAATTTCCGCAACATTCCAAAAATTGTAAATTCCTGATAGAGGCAATTGCAGGCATGTGAACATGCTTACCAAGCAAAAAAGTGTTGACACGTGTACATGTGTGTACACATATGTGTGCCTTCTCTCACATGCAAGCACACTTACAGGTTAAAGTGCATAGGATCACAGGCTCACAATCCTCTTGCACATATATATGTACACTCGCTTGTGAACTCGTGTACATGCATACGTGCATGTGCGCACACATACACCACCTGATCTAAGCAGCAGAAGCTGAATGACAGAAAAGCCTGAGTCTAGTGGAACCCCCAGGTTTCACCATGGAGCACAGGGCGCCTTCCACCGAGACCCCTGGAGTGCCCCTGGCCTACCTTGAACTTTTTTTTTTAGCAAAGGAGGGGAAAGGCCTGCCACCTGGAGCTAGGAACTCAGATCTCCTTGCCAATCCCCAAGTGCATGGCTTTGAGCCCTTCCACGTGTGACCTTCAGAGCCATAATCCCTTTAGTCTCGCTGGCTGAATAGCCCGGTTTCTTGTCCAATACTGGAGCTGGGGCTGAGAAAGCAGGGAAGCCTCTGCCACAGGGGCTTCCATGAGCACATGGGAAGGGCACAGGGGGTACTCTGAGGGGTATCCTCCCCATGGCTCAGCACTGTTTGTGTCTGAACCCTGGCTTCTGAACCTCATGGCACCTCCTAGAACCTGGGACATCTTGCAGAGAGGGAAGGCTGTAGCTGTCAGTAGGGTCGTCATGAAGACTGGCACTTTTCTAAGCACATGGCACAGCCAGACTCGGCTTCTCCACCACCATGTCACAGAGTGACCTGGCCCATCTTCCTCAGGGGTCAACATTTACACATGATCCCAAGGCAATAATAAGCCACTCAGGTTAGAGGCTAAAAAGCAGGGAACAAAACCTTGTGGGCAAAAATGCAGGCCCCATCCCCCATGGTGGCTCAGTTCTAGGGCGCTGGCCGTAAGAGTCCAGTGAAGCCATGGCTTCTCTCTAGACGAACACGTATACCCTACCCAGCCTTCACCTGCTGAGACTTGAGGGCTTGGCCCTTGGCTATCTCTCTAGGCCAATGAGGTTTCATGTCTAAGGCGTCGCAGGCCTACCCACAAAGGTATCTCAGTCCAGAAGCCAAGCCACATAATGTCCCAGTCCTGGCCTGTACCCTGATCTTTCAATGGAAGCATCTTGTAGCCCCAGGGCAGACAGAGTCCTCCTCTGAACTCCATGCTCTCCTAAACTTGTTGGTTCCTGTGGGTGGGGCTGGCGTAGAAGGAGTTCCTGCCTCCAAACAGTATATATGCAGCCACCTGGGGCCTCTGTGCACCCACATCCTGAGCAGTCACCCCAAGAAGACACGACAGAAGAATGAAGCTTCTACTGTTGCTGTCTGTGGGGCTGGGCCTGGCCTGGACCCTGCAGGACCAAAGCCAGGTTCCCGTGCAGCCGGGCTTCAGCCCTGAGCAGGTGATGCTCTGGGGTCTCTGAAGAGGGTAGGGAGCCACCCCATATCTCCAGCATTTCTCAGGTCTCCATTACCTTGCGGTGTCTTGACAGCAACTCACAGCAATGGGCACCCAAGGAAGGCATTCTACTAGAGGCCAGGAGCCCAGGGACACTCTGCCAGGTCCCCTGGAGTTTGAGCCACTTGAAAGATATACTGCAGCTGGCCAGACCTCAGGAGGAGCCTGAACCTAGGGACAAAACAGTAGAGTCAGGGTAACCAGGCCTTCTACTATGTGTCTTATTGCACAGAGACCCCGAGACCCTTATATGATAGAGGGCGCCATCTCTCTTCAGGGATCTGGAGAATAGAAAGCCAGCACATTCTATCAGCAGTGTCCATGGCCAATGGATATACTGTGCTGGCCTGTCTGATTGAGGGTGGGGGTGGAGGAGAGTCTGTAGTCCCCAAGGCTTCTTCTAGGCACACAGTAGGAGATGAGATGAGGTCCATGCTCTACACCACCCACTGTAGGACATGCCTGGCTCCTCCCTGCTATGACCCACTGTCCAGGGAGATGGCTCCCCAGGACTCTGTGGCCAGCATAGAACCTTACTCTGCAGGTGACAGGACCCTGGGAAACCCTCAAGCTGGCTTCCAATGACCGGTCCGTTGTTGAGAAAGAAGGCGCTTATGAGTGCTTTATGACTGGTATTGTTCTCCTGGACAACGGCAACCTGAATGTCAGCTACTTCCACAGGTAGTCTGCCATGCTCAGACTTCTGATCAGGTTCGGCAGGGCCACATCCTCTCCACCACCTCCCAGATCCCCAGCTCTTCAGGGCTCAGACCCTGAGAGGACCCCGATGATACTGATCCTCTGGGCTGCTCCCTGGGGGTTGCCCAGCCTCCAGAGCTCCCTCTGGGTAAATCAGGTGACCTTATAGGACCCAGCCCCTGGAACGTGGCTCAGGAAGGTTATTTTCCTCTTAGAAAAGATGGGAAGTACATGAAGGAATTCTACGTGGCAGAGAAGACTGACACCCCTGGACGCTACACCTTTGAGTGTGAGTGGAAGTAGCCGTGGCTCCCTCCCTGGGTAGCATGGTAGCTCGGGTGGGATGTGATGAGCTGCCGGAGTGCAAACGGGACTGTTTGGGAATCACGGGGATGGTAACCACACAGATCTAGCTCCTATGTCTTCAGGAATTCAAAAATCCAAGAAGAGTGCCCCAGACTGTGTTCTCTTGGGTCCCCAGAGCTCCCACAATCCTCTTGAAAACCCTCCCTAGGGACCCAGCACAGAGCCTGGGAGAGAGAGGGGACTCAGGAGCCCTCACCCGGCTGTGACTCTGGAGTGTTGTGCCAGGATTTCCCTTTGCAACAGATGCTGCTCAGGTTAAAGAAATACAAGGCAGTGTTGGTGGTCACCCCAGGAGTCCAGATAACAGGAGAAGACAGAGAGGGGAGACTCTGGAGCCCTTTCCCTTCATTGGACATGCCTTTCCCAGAAAGAGACCCAGAGAGTCAGGGGGAGACAGGGGAAGAGAGCTGGGGGAAGCAGAGCCAGAGAAAGACTAAGAGAGGCAGAGGCAGGAGAATGGCTGCCTGGTGGGCTTTGTGCCCCTGGTCTCTGCTGACCACTGTGGGCGGAACATGTGGAGGTGGAGTCAGGCTGTGCCAGCTGGGGAGGGGCAGGATACCAGGAGACACAAGGGCCCCAGCAGGCTTCATGACCCTTTGGTTTCTTGTCATAGACCACGGCAAAAACTATCTGACTTTCGTGGCTGTTACCGAGAAATTTACCATCATGGACTTGGAAAACCAGAGGGACGGAAATCCCCTCATCGTGGTGGAGCTCCACGGTGTGTGCCGTTCCCACTTACAGCCTCAAGACTGCAGGGAGTAACAGGAGCCCTAACTGGAGAGGCGGGGAGGGAGGGTGGGGAGGGTGGGGAGACTAGGGCGTGGAGCTGCTCTCCCTACCCCAAGTACCCTCCCTATGGGTCTCTTTGCTCAACTATGCTTTCAATCCTGCTGGCTGCAGGCAGGACTCAGGAAGCAGGCGAGCTTGGGATGGCGCACTATAGGAGGCAAACAGCCAGAAGAGGCATTTTACCAAGCAACATTGTGGATGTTTTCTTGAAACGTAAGTCTCCCTTCCTACAACTTCTTCTCTGTGGGACCCCAGCCACAGTGGCTGTGATGACTGTGACTCCTTTGGAAATCTACGCTGTAGGACGTATTAAGGGGATGGCCGATGAGATGTCTGTCTGGGGCTCAGCCAAGCTAGGGCTGATCTGAGGAGGAGGCATTGGAGGGAGAAGGGAACTCACATGATGAACTCTGACCTCTGCTTCCTCTTTGGTCCACAACAAGATGTCGCTCCTGAGGTCTATAGGAAGACTCCTTCCTGTCTTCATCACCCATATTCTGGCAGCTAGATTTTTCCAGGGAACATCCTGCTAAGTATAACCCTAGAGTATAGCAGCCAGGGCTTGTGAAGGATGCTGCACCCAGGGCACAGCCTGAATTAGAACACCAGGTGGGCTCAGGAAGACTCAGGCTCTCTCCAGGGTTCTGGGGTGCATGTACACATACCCCGGCACACATCTTGTGTGTGGGCATGCATGCGTACCTCTGCACACACTGTATTCCTGACCGCTTCTATGCCTGTCATGGTCACTCAGTGCTTTGTTTGAAACCCCTGCTCTGCACACACCCTTGCAGAGCTTTGCTGAGCAAATCAGCACTCCCCTTCCCAGGGGCCTCCTGGATCCAGGCTCTTCCCTCAATTCTGTCTCCTAGCTTCCCAGACTGCCTCTTCACATCCCGAAGAGTGCAGAGTGAGCCCTGTTAATCCATGTCCACCATAGCAGCACAAAGTGTGGAGAGACTCCATACGTCCCTTAAAATCATGGCCCTAGGAATCACACCCCAAGGTGGGGACAAGGGCTCAGGGCTTGGTGAACTTGGAGGAATATGGCCCTGATGGAGAGCTTGGTCAATCATGTTGCTCCCCTGGGTGTGCAAGGCCCAGGAGATAGGGACAGCAGGGTGATGGGGGGGAGGAGACTGGGCCCCTGAGAGGAAGAGACAGAGAGAAACTTCAGGACACTGACCTGGAGCCTTGTGTTTCCCTAGGTTATGGCAGTTCCTGAGATCAGCCACAGGGCATCTGCCTTCCCCAGGTCCAGGTCTGTGGTACCCAAGAGTCAGCATTGTCTATGGCCTTCCTCTCTTGGTACTTTTGATCATCAACTCCTGACTGTCTGTCAACTCCGACCCACCCTTCCCCATGTAATAAATGAACTCAGCATCTGCTCATGGCCTCTGGTTCCTTCTCATCTATACCCAAAGGCCACAGGGACCTCCCTCAGGGAGGAGTGGTATCCACCTAGTTTCTGACAGAGTGGGGCAGGGATGGTGTCCCCAGGTAGAAATCTCATGCCCAGGGCAGCAGTTGGACTCTGAGGGCCTCAGGGAGTTCTGGAGCAGGCAAACCTGAATGGCCCAAGGAGTTGGCATTGCCACCTTCCTACAGTCCTTGCCCACCCTCCTTTCCCAGAACCTGGACCAGCTCTGACTATAGGACAGTGAAGGCCAGGTCAGCCATGGGCAGGGATTTTTGTCCTCTAGGATATGAAGGACACGTCATGAGGTCTCTCAAGTCCTGAGTCATTGTGTCTGTGACTAGGAGGGAGGCTAGGACCTCACCCAAGGGAGCTATGCATAGACAGAAAGATCACGCAGGGTAGGCCAGGCCCTCCCTGGCTGGGCTTCTGACCTTCCCCGACAACTGACTGTTTCCTGCCTTAGAAGTCATTGGCTGTAAGTCAGCTTAATCCTGAAGTTAAGGAGCAGGCAAGTGCCTGGCTGATGTCAGCTAACAAAATGCCAGTGGGAAGCTGGACCTCTGGTTATCCAGTGACAAGCTATTCCTGCACCAAACCCAAAGATGGAGCTGGCCCCTGTGCTGAGTTCTCTAGAGTGTCCCTGAGCCAGGTCCCTGCAGAACAAAAGAGGTCAAGGCCCAGGTCAAGGCCAGGGAAGGAGACAGTGCAGAGGAAGGGTCACATTTGGCATGAGCTAACCCAGGGTCTGACTCTAAAGCAAAGGACGGCACTAGAAAAGTGGCTGCCCCACACTGTCCTGGATCCGTGGGGCAGAGTGGCCATGAGGCTGGAAGAGAGTGTTGGTGAGAGACGTTCATAATAAACAGGTACAGTAACAGCCCACACCAGCAAGGCATTCACACTCCTCAAGTGCTGCCCAGGGAGACTATCTGTATGTACCTGTGCTCCCGTCACACCCAGGGAAGTGTGAGGTGTGAGGTGAGCAGGGGTGTAGGAGAGTCCTTCCACTCACGCTCTTGTGGATGGACACACCAGGAAGATGGCGGACCTAGGAACAAGGGGCTACACCTGAGGGAGTAACAGACATGCCTATGGTCTTCTGGAGCCTAACCACGAGCCTCTCCCTGGACTCCTAGGACAGACTTGTAATGTGGTTAAGCCGCCCCAACAGGCTCACCGTGTTTCAGCCTCACTGACTTGAGTGGCACCGAGCTCTGGTTCAGTCCTAGGGAAGCCTGGAGTGTGCAGGGCTTGGGGGACAGCAAGACTGGTCAACAACTGCTTAGGAGAAGTGGGCTACTTAGGATGTTCTCAGAGACGGGGAGCTACTGGGACCTGCTGCTCTTGGCCCCAGGTGCCATGACATTGGTGAGGGGGTGGCTGCTGTTCTTGGCTTTCAACATAAACCTGGCCCAGAAGAATCTGGAAGAGGTGCCAGTGCAGCCAGGCTTTGATTCACGTAAGGTAAGTGTCATGGCCTGGCCCAGACTCAGTGCTGGGATAAGGACTGGGTACAGCGTCACACTGCGAGTGTGCTTAGGTAGCCCGACTTTCTAGGACCATTCATTAACTCGGGTAATTGAAGCTGATGGTCCAAGAGCAGACTCAGAGGCTGTAGAGCCTTGACTGTGGAAACAGAGCCAGAGTTGAGATGACAGGTCCCCACTAGGGTGACATGGATCACAAAGTGTGTCCTGGTCTCCTGCCTCCGCCTGTTCATCTCTGGGTCTTGGTGCCCAGAATCAGATGTGGGGACAGTGGGTAGTACAGGCTGGGAGGGTTAGTGGGAGGGGTTCCAAGCCATGATGACTCAGGGGAGCAGAGCTCAGACAAGAGATAGGATGGATGAGGGGGGCACTGAGGAAGACAGGGGGCATTGGGGAAGGAGACAGAGAGGGAAGGAAAGCTGGAAGAGGATGGAAGCAAATATTTCCAAGTAGGAAGTCACAGCTTATACTCTGACCCAGGACCCCTAGAAGTTCACTGATATTGGGGCGTGGGGTTGGCCAGTATACATCCTGGGCATGTGTGCCATCTACTGACTAGGCTTAGAGCTTTATCATTTGTACATTAAGACCAGAAGCTCAATACTAGCCATCTCTCTGGTCCCCATGCCCACACTCCCGCAGGTGGAAGGACGTTGGCTTACCATCCAGCTGGCCACTAGCATCAGGGACCTGGTCTTGCCCACTGACCCCCTGAGACTTGCTCTCCACTCCATTGGGACCAGAGACAGTGGGGATGTGGACTTTGTGCTGTTTGAGAAGTGAGTGCCTGTGGTAATGTAACTCTTATCTCTTGCCCAGAGCCACGAGGGGTTAGCATGGGTGGCCAGAGGGACCGTGGTACTGTGCCAGGCTAAAGGCTATAGCTTGCAAACCCCAAGGCTTAGGAGAAAGAGTTGGCAGAAAAGGCACATAGTCAGCTGCCAGGCCTGACTGACATGCCCTCCAAGATGCAGACCATGTGGTCCAGACTGTGGCCATGGAAGGAATCCCAAGTCTGGTTCTAGAATGTGCAGTCCTTGTTATTTAAAAGTGCTGAAGTTTCCTGAGCTTAGTGGCACAGATCTTTAACCCCAGCATTTGTGATGTAGAAGCGGGATGACCAGGAGTTTAAGGTCATCCTTAGCTATATAATGGGTCCAAGACCAGGTCGGGCCCCATGAGACACGAGCTTTGTCTGTATAGAATAAGAACAGTCAGAGACAAACAAGTCAGGGCTGTGATCCCAAGACCCAACTCTCAGAGGACAGTCTGGCCTCAACCTCTTCTGGAAGCCTGGTTTCATCCATGATGAATAGGACCATCATCCACCCACTATGAGTCGTACCCCTTTCCACTACTTCCAGGGGCCAGCACCTGGGCTACCACCCTCTCTCTCTATCTGTCTAACCCTAATGAAGGTTGCTCCCAAACACTGGGAACTGGGAATCGGGGAGGACTTCAGGGCTCTCCACCAGGGTTACCTCCAATGTTTCTCTGTGCCCTGAGCCAGCCACACTCTCAGGCAGAAGTGTCTAGAAATGCCCCTTCTTTCTAGAGGAGAAGGAATATGCACAGGACTGAATGTTACCGTCCACCCAACGGGGCTCCCGGGCCAGTACCAGGGAACCTGTGAGTACTTCATGGGGAACCTGGGTGCTATGCTGATGAGGGAGGTCCAGATGGGGAGTCCAGACACCCTTCATGGAGCCCAACACCTGGAGGAGCTACCAGCTTTGGGCAGGCTACCCACCCTCTCAGTAACATCACGTTCTCTGTGGGGAGGTGGAGTTCTGGAATCAAAGGGCAGAGGCATTATGTGTCGCACCTGGTTCTCCACAGTTGAGGAGGGCAGCATGCATGTCCATTTCGTCAGCACCGACTACAACCACCTCATTCTTTATGTACGCTTGGAGGACAGCGAAGTCATCAACCTGTGGGCACTTCTGGGTAGGTGATGGCTCTCCCCAGTGCCAGCTGCTGTGTCTAGGTCCTCTGGGTAGGTGTTGGTCACTCCCTAGTCTAACCAGAGACTTTCTGTCGGAAAGGGGAGTTTCATGATGGCTGTTGTGAGCTGCAACCAGACATTCCACCACACAGGTATCATATACTTTTTTCATTCACTCATTCAGTTACTCATTCACTCTCTTATTTGCCCACTTGAGTGTCTGCTACAGTCTGGTGCTGTCCTGGGGTTAGTAGCAACTGGGTCCTCTCAGGTTTCCCAAAAGGAAAGTATCAGGGGAGAAGGGCCTGAGGGGTTTATGAGGGGGTGTCAAGCAGCTGTTGCATCTTGGGTGACACTGAAGGTAGCCAAGAGCCTTGAGCTCTGAGAAGGATCGGGGTGGTGGGAATAGCAGGGGGGGAGGAACACAGGTGTGAACGTAGGTGGGAGGTTGGGGCTCTCTGGGGCCTTCAGGCGGAGGATGCAGGCCTTGATTGTTTATTAGAAGGGCATTAGACTGCTAGAATCAGACCTGTCCCTGCCCCCGCCCCTTTCCTTTTTTCTGTGTTGGGGATGGGCCTCACAGCTTCTGCATACTGGGCATGTGCTCCACCAACTGGGTCACATTGTGTAGCTTGAGTTTTCCTGCCTGGCCCACAGTCAGGACAAATCTCTCTCACCTGCCAGTCCCACAGCCACTCAGACCCAACCAAGTAAACACAGAGACTTGTATTGGTTACAAACTGTATGGCCGTGGCAGGCTTCTTGCTAACTGTTCTTACAGCTTAAATTAATCCATTTCTATAAATCTATGCCTTGCCACATGGCTCGTGGCTTACCGGCACCTTCACATGCTGTTTCTCATCATGGCGGCTGGCAGTGTCTCTCTGACTCAGCCTTCCACTTCCCAGCTTTATTCTCCTCCTTGTCCAGCCTATACTTCCTGCCTAGCCAATGGCCAATCAGTGTTTTATTTATTGACTAATTAGCAACACATTTGCCATACAGAACATCCCACAGCAACATTGGTTGCCCCAGACATGCTTTTAGAAGAGACAGCGAAGGGACTGTTGTGATCACTGGGAGAGGGAGATGCTGGGTCTGGGAGGTAACCCGGGAGGTGGCGCTGTGATCCGACCAACCCTAACCTACACTCTGCAGCTCAGGAGACCAGTGTCAGGCAGCTGCTGGTCAGGGTCTCTGTACCCCGCTGGGGCTCTGCTCCCTCCTTGTTTATCCAGGAGAACTGAGAGCTCAGAGAGCTTTATCCTCACTGCCAACCATCTAATTTCAGCGAGAAGAATGCTTGAGGACCCTACATGGCTGGGGAAATACCTGGTGTTTGTAGAGAAATTCCACCTTCAAAAGGCTCCCATCTTCAACATAGCTGGTAAGAGCTGTCCTCCAGCTGCTCCACAGCTGTTTAAGGAGTGCCGCCCTTTCTTATCCACTCCATTATGCAATAACAACACAAGAACAGCCTTCATGACGTTGCTCTTCTGGCCAGACCTGTACTAGATGCCGCCCCTGCCAGGCTCCAGGTGGTACCTTGAGACACAGTGATGAGGGTGCTTACTGACTCTATGCCATGGATGTGGTTCAGAGATAGTCCAGAGTAAGGGGAAGAGGCACAATCAGGAAGAGGGTCTGGGTGTGGTCTAGATCTCGGAGTCTCCTGACACCAGCACCCAGCCCTTTTGCACCATCACTCAGGGTATCGTTTAATTGATCAACAAACACACCACCACGTCTGTGGAACAAGACAGATTCAGGTCACACCTGAGAAGACATCGGCAGAGGACAAACAAGGCTGTGATGGAGCCGTTCGTCAGGAACAGAGGCTGTGGGGGCCTCCATGCATGTGCAGAGGCCAGAAAGGGTGTCTTAAGAGAAACCCAAGGCTCCCGGAAGGGAGAACACGCTGAGGATGTGGGGTGGGGGGAGGGATGAGCTTCTACCAGAGCACACAGGCTATGGTAGGATGTGGCCATCATGGGGGCTGAAGGGCAGGAGGCAGGGCAGTCTTGGGGACTCAACATTTTCCTCTTGTGATTGGTTTCTTGACTGACTGATTTGAAGGCAATCAAGTGGAGACCCTTTCTCTTCCTCTCCACAGACCAGTGTCCTCCACATCAGGGCCTAGATGAGGCCACTGCTTGAGGCTTCCTCCCACCTGGGCCCCTTCACCCTCTGCTGCTTCAGCTCCCCTTCTCGCCATGGCCAGAAGCTCAGGAAGCCCCTCTGCAGCCCCTAGGGGCCTGGAGCCTGAAGCCTGAAGCCCGGAGCCTGGAGCCTGGAGCCTGGAGCCCAGATATGAGCCCTGCCTGCCTGGTCCTCCCCCATTCCCTTCCTCTCGGTGGTAACCAAGTCCTGTTAAAAAACACAATAGGACCCCCAAGGCTCCCTGGAGACTTAAGAGTTATGAACTTGAAAGAAAATGAGCAAATCTAGGTGTTCTTACAGAAAATGCCCCATCCTTGGGTACAGAAAATTTACTTAGGAGATGAAGAGTGGCCCAGTGACAGGGTGCTTGCCCAGCATGCTCAGGGTCTGGCTTCTATCCATCTTTGGTTGCAGGCAAAAAAAAGTAACTTGAATACATAGAGATGTGACATTCCTGCGTAACCTTCAATGTTTTTGGAAATGTGTCCCTCACTCTGTAATAAATAAAGAGACTGGTGGAAGTGAGCAGTTATTTTAATATACTGTTCTGTAAAAGGAACTCCAATGTGGAGAATGGGGTCAAAAGGGCATAGCTGGTGTCTTAGTCACTGTTCTATCGCTGTGAAAAGACACCATGACCAAGTCAACTGCTGTAAAAGAAAGCATTTGAAGCTTGCTTACAGTTTCAGAGGCTTAGTCCATTATCATCATGATGGGAATCAGTCAGGCACGGCACTGGTATAGTAGCTGAGAGCTACATCCTAATCCACAAGGAGAGAGAGGCAGAGAGAGAAGCTGGGCCTGGTGTAGGCTTTTGAAATCTCAAAGCCCACCCCAGTGACATACTTCCTCCAACAAGGCCATGCCTCCTAATCCTCCTAATCCTTTCAAGCAGTTCCACTCCCTAGTGACTAAGCATTTATGTATACAAGCCCTGGGGACCATTCTTATTCAAACCACCACAGCTGACATGTTGATGTGGCAGGGGACAGTGGTTTGTTTTGATTTTATTTCTGTTTTTTTTTTGTATGTTTGAAGTGTGTGTGTGTGTGTGTGTGTGTGTGTGTGTGTGAGAGAGAGAGAGAGAGAGAGAGAGAGAGAGAGAGAGAGAGAGAGAGAGAGAGGGAGGGAAGGAGAGAGAGAGAGAGAGGGGGAGGGAAGGAGAGAGAGAGTGAGCAGTACCAAAGGAATCCAGAAGAGAGTTTTGGATCCCCTAGAGCTGGAGCTATAGAACAGATGGTTGTGATCCCCCAACATGGGTCCTGAGTTGAACTCAGGTCTTCTGCAAGAGCAGCAAGTAATCTTAAGCAGTGAGCCATCTCTCCAGCCTGAGGAAATGTTTTAAAGTCTCTCATCACGAGAAACCCTGCCCTCTTTACCCATAGACTGGCGCTCTTGTCACACTCTTCTGGAATACCCTCACTCCTTCCCAAATTCCCCATCCCATTGGCTCAGGACACAAATCTTATCTAATGAATACCGCAGGGCTTGAGGCTGCCCCCTTTTCTGATTGTGAACTCAGTCATGCAGCAGGCTGCCTGTAACTTCCCAACTCTCTGAGACAAGCGCCAGCTACTAGCTGGAAGGGAGAGGGGACAAGAGCTTCCTTTTATCTGTAACTCTCATGAGCTCTAAGCACACTGAAACTGGGCCATAACGGCTTATTTCTCACAATATGATAAAGATTTAATAAGCCCCAAGTTGCTCTACATACAAAGGAATTCAGTGTCTGGTTGCCAGCACTCCTCCCTGAGGGAGACTGAAGAAGATCTACCCGCTCCTCACAGGGTACCAGTGGCAAACCTAAGTTCAGCCTGGGGAACTGGTGAGTTTATTTGGCTTACTTACAGAAGCCTGGGTGACCCCAAAGCAGCTGCACTGGAAAGTCTTTACCCAGTATGAATGATGGCTTCCTACAGCTTCATAAGTGGAGGTCCTCTCAATTAACTACCCCTCCCATACACTCTAGCAGCTCTCAAGACCCTGAGAACACACAATCAGGACAGAATTTGGGTACAAATTCCCTTCTATGAGGAAATGTCAATAGTCAACAAGCCCAACTGTGATGGACCCTTGCCAATAGCAGCCAATCTGGTGAAGATGGCTGCTGTTTTGCTCAGAGAACCTTATTCTACAACAGTTCTAGGAAGGAATTCCTCCTAAATGGCAAAATGAACCTGAAGTTTCCAGGGAGGCATAAAAATTTTGAAAAGTTTTAAAAAGAAAAGCAATGCATAGAGATTCACCCTTTTGCCATAATGTAGAGAGAGGAGGCTGAGAATAACATGGCATCAGCTCAGAACAGAAGAGAGATCAACAGAACCAGATGGGATTCCAAGCCATAAGCACACAGGAATGATGGAATATTAAGCCATGAGCATAACTGGACGTCAACATGTAGAAGATTGCAAATAGATTCATATCTATTGCCATGCACAAAACTCAAGTCCAAGTGGATCAAAGACCTCAATATAAAACCAGTTACACTGACCCTGATAGACGAGAAAGTAGGAAGTAATCTTGAACACATTGGCACAGGAGACCACTTCCTAAATATAATACCAGCAGCACAGACACTGAAAACAATAAATAATAAATGGGACCTCCTGAAACTGAGAAGCTTCTATAAGGCAAAGGACATGGTAAATGAGACAAAACGACAGCCTACAAGATGGGAAAAGATCTTCACCAACCCCACATTTGACAGAGGGCTGATTTATAAATATATAAAGAATTAAGAAAACTAGACATCAAAATAACAAATAATCCAATTAAAAATTGGGCTACAGAGCTAAACAGAGAATTCTCAAAGGAAGAATTTCAAATGGCCAAAAGACATTTAAGGAATTGTTCAGCATCCTTAGTCATCAAGGAGATGCAAATCAAAATGACTCTGAGATACCATCTTACACTGTCAAAATGGCTAAGATCAAAAACACTGAAGACAGCTTATGTTGGAGAGGTTGTGGAGCAAGAGGAACACTCCTCCACTGTTGGTGGGAGTGCAAACTGGTACAGCCACTTTGAAAATCAGTATGGCGGTTTCTCAGAAAATTGGGAATCAATCTACCTTGAGACCCAGCCATACCACTCTTGGGCATATACCCAAGGAATGCTCAATCATACCACAAGGACACATGCTCAACTATATTCATAGCAGCATTATTCATAATAGCCAGAACCTTGAAACAACCTAGATGCCCCTTGACTGAAGAATGGATTAAGAAAATGTGGTACATATACACAATGGAGTACTACTCAGCAGAGAAAAACAATGACATCATGAGGTTTGCAGGCAAATGGATGGAACTAGAAAATATCATCCTGAATGAGGTAACCCAGACTCAGAAGGACAAACATGGCATGTATCCACTCATAAGTGGATACTAGATGTAAAGCAAAGGATAATCAGACAACAAACCACAACTCCAGAGAAGCTAGCTAACAAGGAAGACCCAAAAAGGGATGCATGGATCACCCTGGGAAGGGGAAATAGATGAGATCTCCATGAGTAAACTGGGGATGAGGGGTGGGTAATGGAGGTCAGGGCATAGGGGATGAGAGCATAAGGGATTGGGATGGTTGAGCTGGAACAGGGATGGAGGGGGAAAGCAATGAAAGAGATACCATGATAGAGGGAGATATTATGGGGATAGAGAGAAACCCGGTGCTAGGGAAGTTGCCAGGAATCCCCAAGGATGACCCCAGCTTGGACTACTAGAAATAGTGGAGAGGGTGCCTGAACTGAACTGGCTTACCCCAGTGATCAGACCAGTGAATACCCTGTCATCACAGAGCTTCTCTCCAATGACTGATGGAAGCAGATGCAGAGATCCACAGCCAGTCACCAGGCAGAGCTCCAGGAGTCCAGTCAAAGAGAGAGAAGAGAGATTCTATGAGCAAGTGCATCAGGATCATGATGAGGAAACATGCAGAGATGACCAAACCAAACTAGTGGGAACTCATGAAAGTTAGATCAATGGCTGTGGAGCCTCCATGGACTAGGCCCTCTGCATGGCGAGACAGTTGTGTAGCTTGATCTGCTTGGGGGGCCCCTGGCGGTGGGGTTAGAATCCATCCCTGGTGCATGAGGGGACTTTTTGGAGGCCACTACCTATGATGGGACACCTCGTGCAGCCTTGAGCAGGGGGAAGGGCTTGGACTTGCCTCTACTGAATGTGCCTCCCCATGGGAGGCCTTGTCTTCTTGTTGGGGGAAGTGGAGGGGTGGGTTGGGAGGGGGAGGCTGGGGAGGTGGGAGGAGGGAAGAGGGGGATCTTTGATTGGTATATAAAATGAATGAAAACATTTTCTTAAAAAAATAAAAGCAAAAACAAACAGAAAAAGTATTTGACA